CTGCTAAATTTACCAAACCAAGCTCGTGGAGATTGTTTGAGGCCATAGAGAGACTTACGGAGACGACAAACAATACCTGACTCCCCCTGAGCAACAAATCCAGGAGGTTGCTCCATATAAATTTTTTCCTCAAGATCACCATGAAGAAAAGCATTCTTAATATCCAGTTGGTAGAGAGGCCAATGGCGAATAGCACTCATGGCAATAAAAAGGCGAACAGTAGACATTTTCGCCACAGGAGAAAAAGTATCAATAAAATCCAAGCCAAAGACTTGAGTGAAACCCTTCGCCACCAAGCGAGCTTTAAGACGATCCACTTGACCATCAGGTCCAGCCTTAACAGCATAAATCCATCTGCAACCAACCACAGATTTTCCAGAAGGAAGAGGCACCAGATCCCACGTGCCATTATGATGAAGAGCACTTATTTCATCAATCATAGCTTGTCTCCATCCCAAATGTGAAAGTACATCACATGTAGTCTTAGGAACAGATACAGAGGACAAATAGGAAATGCAAGCAAAGTATGATGGAGAAAGACGATGATAACTAATATTGACTGTATACCTGGCCGGAGGGCGAGTATCACGAGTACCCTTACAAAGAGCAATGGGAAGGTCACTATCCGAAGGTGGAACTGAAGCCGTGGGAGGAGATGCAGTTGAATGTGAGTCCACAGAGACATCTGACGAACTATGCTCGATCTCATCAGCAGAAGAGGTGATAGAAGGAGAGTCAGAAACATGGACGGGTAAATACGGAAGGTAAAGAAGGTCACCTGGGAGGGATGACTGTACAGAATCAGTATCCACAGGAGTAGTAGAGGATCCAAAAAAAGGAACTGATTCAAAAAAGGAGACATCCACCGAGATAAAGTATCGACGTAAAGTGGGAGAGTAGCAACGGTAACCCTTCTGAGACCGAGGATAACCCAGAAAAACACATTTATGAGACTTGGGAGCTAATTTATCCAAACCTGGACCAAGATGATGAACAAAACACGTAGAACCAAACACATGTGGAGTTAAAGGATATAAAGCTTGATGGAGAAATAAAATAGAGTGAGGTACCTTATAATTGAGAACAGATGATGACATGCGATTAATGAGATAGCATGCAATAAGTATAGCATCACCCCAGAATGCGTATGGAACATTGCCATCAATTAACAAGGCACGAGTGGTTTCAACCAGATGGCGATTCTTGCGCTCGGCGACACCATTTTGTTGAGGTGTATGAGGGCAAGATGTTTGATGAAGAATGCCATGAGATGAAAAGAATTGTTGAAATTGATGAGATAAGTACTCACATGCATTATCACTACGAAAAGTACGAATAGGAATACCAAATTGAGTTTTTATTTCATTATAAAATAACTGAAAAATAGAAAACAACTCAGACCGATTTTTCATTAAAAATAACCAAGTGCATCTGGAATAATCATCAATAAAGTAACAAAGTACTTAAAACCCAAAGTAGAAGAATGACGACTTGGTCCCCAAACATCAGAGTGGACCAAAGAAAAAGGAGAAACAGCTTGACGACTAAGACGACTCGAAAACGTACTACGAGTATGTTTCCTAAACTGAAGAGACTCACAATTTAAAGTAGAAAGAGACGATAAATGGGGAACCATCTTCTGAAGCTTTGCAAGACTAGGATGGCCCAGACGAGCATGGATAGTAAGAGGAGAATCCACACTGGAGCAGGCTGAAGAAGAGGGAACTAGTTGATAGAGGCCCTGAGACTCACATCCTTTGATAATCTCCTTCCCCGAACTCCGATCCTGAAAGATGACAGAGGTTTTAGTAAAAGAAACAACACAGTCAATGGATTTGGTCAAACGACTAACAGAAAGTAAGTTAAAAGGAGAGTCGGGCACATATAGAACATGATCCAGAGATGAATTGGGTAAAAGAAGAACCGTGCCAATCCCCCTTGATTGGACCAGAGACCCATTGGCCATAGTAATAGTGGAAAAAGAACCAGTAGTACAAAGGGAACTGAATAAAGACTTATTACCAGAAATGTGATCAGAAGCCCCATAATCAAGAGTGCAAGGGCCTATAGAGTGCAACTGAGAGATGCCAGCAAAAGAATTACCAGAGGGTGCAATGGATGCAGTAGGTAGGCCTGATGTTTGCTTCTCCGACTTTTGTTCAGCCGGAGTCCCAGAAATAGAAACATTGGAGACAGGAGGATCCATAATCAAAAATAAAAAAAATCAGAAAGGACAGATCACACAACTAACCGGTAGAAGAGGAATATGTACGTCAATGCAAAAAGAGGTCCAAACACCAAAACAAGACCAGATCCAGAACCTACGCAAGGAGACGAGAAGATCGCAACCAGCCACGGCCGGAGAGGAGCCTCCACACACCGCCACGCACTGCCGGAGTGAAGGAGAGTGGCCGAGAGTGGTCGAATTGTCACGCGCGCGTGAGGGCGCGTGTGACCTTGAAATCGGACGGGACTGGTGGCGTTGGAACCGCGCGGCTGAGACGAGCACGTCGGTATGTGGATCGCCGGAAACGGTGACCAGGCGGTGGTTTTGGACGAGTCAGAAGTTGTATGCAGAGAGAGAAGCGTCCGGAAACTGACAAGGAGACAGCTCCGGAAAAAAAAAAATTAAACCACGATGAACAGTGGGTTCACTGGGAAAAAAATTTCAAAGTTCCTTAGGCTCTTGATACCATGTTAAATAACGAGAGAGTGAGAGAGAAGAGAGGAACATTTGAAATAATATTCTGTGTGTATTGATCTAATTCAGAGAGTTACAATATATAGAGACTCTAATAGGCTTTAAGTGAAAGGTCCAGACCTAATTACAATCATCATAATAACAGACTAATACAATCAGCATAATTACAGACTAATCATATCTAATCATATTTAATATATTCTAACAGAGATTATTTGATCGTCGATATTTATGAGATAAACAACATGGAATTTGTAGGATATGTCCCCTTGATATGTTTCGGTACTTGAATATTAAAGACACTGGCCAGTGCACGTAATCCATTAGATAAACTATCATAATCAAGGGAATAAATAGTTGATTGAGTTACAGAAAACTTGTCAATCAATTATAGACATTCTACAAAGGGGCGATGAATATTCATGTTATAAGTGTTGTTAATCTTTGAGTTCAAGTTCGAGCTTTTAGTGGAGTAGCACCGAATTAGATAATCATTCGTTGATTATCAGGAGCCTTGATTAATAATAGATGGTAGATCCCCAAGCTAGGTCGAGACAAGGGATAAGGTGTTTTTCAGATAGATGATGACTTATAGGTTACATGGTCTTGGGTTTTTTCGACTTAAGTTTGTGTCCAAAAGAGAAAGTGAGAGATTGTTGGGTTTTCTCTTTTACTAAAGCCCAAATGGGCTATTAGTATGAGAAGAGCTCAATGAGCTAGGGTTTCTTGGAACCCACATAAATAGTACCACTTAAGTCATCAGCCTCCTAGGTCTTTTGAGAGAAAGAGGCAAGCTCAGATGTGAATAGTGTCCACACACTTCCCCTTCCTCCTCGAGAGATAGTTTGGAAGGTTTACCACAACAGTTCGTGAGTTCGTGCTGTGACGAAAAGGACTCAAGCGTGTGGAACATCATCATCTCACATCTGCACCATCAAAGAAATAAATGATAAAACCATGATGATTCTTATACATCCATATCACAATGGTCTCATAGGCTTCTGCAGATACAATTGCTCCAACAAAAATTTCAAATATTATAAATAACGAAGCGTATTAAAGTGTTAGAAAATATGGAATACGATACTGCAACATAGCTATTACTGTTGTGCATATTAATTTTTGGCTTTGATACATGACCGAATTTATTGGTCCCTGTGCATCAGTATTCACAAATTATGGACTACAACCAATATTCGCAGCTCGAGGGTCAAATTCGTACCTAGGTAAGCCAGGAAACCCACGTGAAATTTAATATAGAACATCATGACGATGTTGAGGTCTCAGATCCATCCCTTGTGTTCTGTACTTTTTAAGTATGGGCTTTGAAACCTGAGAGAAAATAAAAATCACATGGAATCGTAGATAATATCTTTCCATGTTTTAGTATAAAAGACACGATTGATAATAAAGAAACGAGATTATGGTCCAACAGCATATCCAAAAATATCTTGAATTACCACATCTCATTGAACCACAAGATTATAAAAACTTGAACCGATGTACCATACTTGTGTTCACTTGTAATTAAAGACATCTTACCATGTTTTTCAGCAACGCCGAACGGTTGGATAAATGCAGAAAAAAAAAATGTACCTTTATTAGATGAAAAAACATAACTAAACAGGTAAGAAATTAAGTGCATCAATGGATATGGTTGGCAGAAAAATCACTATATCCACCGAGAGATAATAATAGGAGTGACAAGTATATATGTCTTGAATTAATATTATTATTCAATAATTTTACCCTTTAGTGCACTATGTACGAAATTAAATCTGATCTCATCTTTTCTTTTATGTAGAATCAAATGTCCCTTGGATGAGAAATCGTGATAAAACATATAAGGAATTAATTGCATCAATGAATATGGTTGGCAGATCGAGATAGCTATGTCAAACAGGAGTGATAAGTATGTCTTGAAGTTTTTAAAATTAAACAGAGACAATTCAATAAAACTATATATATTACTAATAAAGGGGAAGAAAAATGTTCTTATATCTACTCGGTAGGGAGAGCTATGCTATTCATATGATTTTGCTCGATTTAAATTGAACTAGTCGAATAATTGATCAACTCATGAATAATATTAAAAAAATACATTAATTGAATAACACTAACACATCTCTATTTTACAACTTCAAGGCATCTCCTAAGCTTAACAAGTGGTTAAACCTACATGCATCAACACAATATAAATAGAAGATACCCTGCCATTCTCCCCTATTGTCCATTACTTCCATTATATATATTCCACAATATACATTATTAATTCACCTTGCTAGTTATGTCAACTACGATGGTTGAGCCAAAAGGTCGAACCGTGGGAGGTACCGAGTACAGCTGGTGCAGGGCGGTTCGCGGTGGCACCGGCATCGCCGTGCTAGCAATGCTCACCTCAAAAGCCCTAGACCCTTCCCGTCTCCAAAATGCACTCAACAAACTCCAAAATTCCCACCCTATCCTCAAGTCCAAGCTCCATTATTCCAACACAACAACATTCTCCTTCGTCACCTCTCCCAACCCCTTCGTCAAAGTCACATTTCACAACCTCCACACGACAAACAAAAACGACACCGTTTCTCCACTTCAAGAAATCCTAGAACACGAGCTTAACCAAAACTCTTGGCATGACAACCCTAGCAGTAGTAGTGACATGTTCTTCGCGAGCGTTTATACGCTGCCTAACGGAGCTTGGGTGGTGGTGATGCGGCTTCACGTCTCCGCATGCGACCGTACAACGGCGGTGTCGCTGTTGAGGGAACTGCTTGTGCTGATGGAAGAGGAAGAAGGTGAAGAAGATGAAGGTTGGAACAAAGGGGAGGTTGATTTAGCTATGGAGGATCTTGTGCCTGGTGGGAAGGGCAAGAAGGCTTTGTGGACTCGAGGTCTTGACATGCTTAGTTATTCCATTAACTCTCTCAGGTTAACAAATTTGAAGTTCATTGACACCAAAGCCACAAGGTTTTCTCAGATTGTGAGGTTACGACTCAACCAAAATGACACTAAGAGGGTTCTATCTGTAAGCCCTATTATACCTTAAAATTATAAGATGTGCTTCATCATATTAATTACCTTAACAAATTAATTATACCTTTATTTAAATTTTCATCTAGTTTAATCATCTATATTAAGTAAAGGATTTTTCCAATGGACATGAGCACTAAAGACTAGTTTAGATTCTCATTTGAACACAATAAGTTGAGTAAAGCGGGGAGAGAACGTAACTTCAATTCCCATCAAATATATCTTTGAAAAGAGACGATAAGTTTTAATTATGACTAAATCCCGACTCGGGATTAGTCTCGCTCAAAGAGTCAAAACTTATGAAAATACCAGGAGCTGATTCGCCTCAAAGAAGTAATTATGGTCAATATACCAAAAATAAAATAAAATTATACACTATTCTTTAAAAAATGTTAGAGATATTTTATGTTTGGAATGATATCTTAAAAGTACTTTCAATTAAGAAATAGAATTTTGAATTTTTTTTTTCAAAAGTCAGAAATCTCCGTTCTTAACATATGGTATGGTTGATCTGGTGTGAACTTTTTCAGGGTTGCAAAAGGAGTGGGATTAAGCTATGTGCGGTACTGACAGCTGCGGGATTGATGGCTGCTCATTGCTCCAAACGTAGTTCCAAAAAGTATGGGATCATCACCTTCACTGACTGCAGATCCTTACTCGAACCCCCTCTCTCTGTTCACAATTTCGGTCAGTGTGTGCACCTCTCATTTTTATTTCTCCTTAATTATTTACTTTTACTGAGTATCAAATAAATTAACCAAGTACTAATTAGTAAAGAAATTTATTTTATTTTTTTACATTTAGTATAACAAATCATTATTACATGTATCTTTTATATTATTTTTTTATGGATTTAGTTTTGATCTACTCTAAATATAATTTTTTGAATGATATATTTGTGAATACATGTTTAGATGATAATATCTATATTTGCAATCAAAATTAAATGAGATTAATCATTGTATAATTTCTAATATTTATATACATATTTTAAAATTTTTATATAAAAAATAAAAGTTATCATTTATGTAACTATTAAACTAGGGCATGTTATATTCACAAACTTTTTTGTTTACAAACTGCACTAAATACGACCGGTCATACTTTAATCATGCAGTGTACGACCGGTCGTATTTAGTGTAATTTGCAAAAAAAAGTTTGTAAACGGATCCTATCCCATTAAACTAATGTAAGTTTCAAATTGGAAATATTCAAAAGTCTTATACTATTTGAAGATCTTTAGTTAGGTTCTTATGGTCTAAAAATTTGTAATTGAGTCAATATAATTTTATAAATTTTTAAATGAACCCTTAAGCCTTGCTATTAAAATTATACAAGGTAAGATTTCAATTAAAAATTCTTAAAACTTTAGAAACTTTTAAAATTTGGAGTCTAGTTAACTTTTTTAAAATAAACAAATTAGTTTAACCTAAATTTTATTCTGCATCAGGATAAGTCTTACCTATACTAAATTTGTTACTTGTCGTATTTACTTAATGTTCTGTATTACGAACAGCCTCATATAATACATATCTGATACTTTTATTTTCTGTTAAGAATCTTAATACTTTGATTATTGTGATTTAACTTATACAGGACTTTTGTAATAACTTCATAAAGCATTTCTTATTCTGATTCAAATATTCAAAATTTGATTTTCCTATTTTATTTTATTTCTAAATAAAATACTACAACTCAGAAAAATGTTCTTAGTATAGGCACTAATGTCATAAGTGGGTAAAGATTATTTTTCTATTTTTTTTAACTGAAAAAAATAGGTGAAGTATGTGCATTTGAATGCCACCTCTTTTTCATGAGTGATTACACCTATTAATTAACTACTATTTTTAATAAATTATCATCATCGAGTTAACAGAAATTAATAATTCATATGGACTGTTAAACATTTTAATATGACACCGATATCAAATGATTATGCACATACACATGTGCCTAACATGCGCAAACGTGTGCGTGCACACATATATATAATTAAACTAATTAACTTGTTGTTTGCAGTTTAGTGATAATTAAGATATTAGATTACATCATTTAAACCATATATCTCATAATATTTAATGGTAACTTCCCTCATTTTAATTTTTTTTTTTTTGTATATCATGAATATTATAAAAACAAAAAATGATGATCAGTCGTTCTCAGGAATTAATTGAGATGTTAAGGACTCATTCTATTCTACATAAGATACCATTAATAAGTTTTTGATTGAAAGTGGTTGACGGTGGCCGCATCCGCATTTTAAATCTTCTATTACATATTATGAATGCTGCATAAAAAATCTAGCAAGGTGATTATCTACTACTGCAAAAATGAATGTTATATATAAAAGACTTTACATTAAATTGTATGTGACCGAGAGCAAAGAAAAAGAAAAGGAACGAAGACTTTACATTAAATTGTATGTGACCGAGAACAAAGAAAAATAAAAGGACCGAACGAAATTGTATTAATGTAACATAATGAACATTAAAAAAGTTAATATGGTTTGGTTTCATTGACCTTGAAGAAAAGGACCAAACGAAATCATATTAATGTAACATAATGCATTGAATATTAAAAAATAATAATATGATTTGGTTTAATTGACATTGAAGAAAAGGAGGAACAAAATTGTATTAATTAATGTAACATAATGCATTGAATATTAAAAAAGATATTATGGTTTGGTTTCATTGACATTGAAGTTCTTATTAATATTTAGGTTTTTATCATTCTGCCATTCTCAATTGCCACGAGATGAAAGGAGGAGAAAGCCTGTGGGAGCTATCAAAGAGGACTTACGAAGCATTTGCAAACTCTAAGAAAGGGAACAAACATTTTTCAGATATGGCTGATCTTCAATTTCTCATGTGCAAGGCCATAGATAACCCAGGTTTGACCTCATCATCTTCGTTGAGAATGTCATTCATGGCGGTGTTTGAGGATACGGTGGTGGACAATGGCGACAAGAAGCAACGAGAGGTTGGGGTAGAGGACTACATGGGATGTGCTTCTGTTCATGGGGTGGGGCCATCTATTGCCATTTTTGACACCATAAGAGATGGAAGCTTGGATTGTGTGTGCGTGTACCCAGCACCATTGCACTCTAGGGAACAGATGCAAGAGCTTGTTAGTAAGATGAATGCTATCCTTATTGAAGGTGCAAAGACTTGCGAGGAATGAATGAGGATATTATTGTTGTCACCACCTTGTTGTATTAATATAAGTCCTGTACTGCCGGAGATTTTTTAAGCTCATGATGCATCTCATCCATGTCTCAAAATCAATGAATATTATATTAACTACTTTAAATTAAGTACTAATGTTTTTAATCATGGCCGGTTGGCAACTATTGAGGTGAGGCTCTTTAAAGTACTTCCTATTTGACTCTAACTAAACACTTGAAGTCTCGCTTGAAGAATCAATAATAATTATTTAAGTTTTTGAGTTGAATTTGTTACTTTATATGGTGTCAAAGTCTTTGTGACTTCGTGGTTTCAAATTTAGCAACAATTCTGTTATTAAATAATTAAATATTATATAATTTCTTAGCACCAATATTCGAATTTATATAATGTCCATCCTTTAAATCCAATAGATTATCATGTAAGAAAACATAAAACCATTAATCCAAACTTCTCCTAATCCCTAAGTTTTTTTTTTTGAAATGGTTCTTTATAATAATTATAATATTTTCTATATTTTATAGCTATTATCAGAAAGAGGGAAGCCTCTAATCGAAACAACATATATACCAGCAATTTATGCCCTCTTTTGACAATTTAGAGTTTTGATATTGCCATTGAATTCAATTACGCTGTAAACCTGATCTTTAATAGTATATGTCTTGCTAATTGATGCATGGGGAATCTAGGATTTTAATATAACAATAAATATGGCTTGATTCTTGAGGGGGGAATCCAACTTCTGTTGCTTTTTTTCCCCCTATTTTCATGTGGCTATATATTTCAAATACTTTTTGATTTGCTTAATTATCTTACTTTATGGTAATGTAGCAGATTAACTGCTTTAGAAAAATAAAACGCTAGTAACTACTAAGGATTGGAAAAGGGGACATAATTTAAAAATAGAATTATAGTGAGTACGTAGGTAATGATTACTAATATTTACTATTGAAAGGAAATGCATTTGTGTGTGGCATCCACACACTGCAAAGCCACTTTTGGTTTGTCTCTACTCAACCAAGCAGTGGGGAGAAGTTAAGGTTCAGAACCTTTAGCAGCATCAAAATAAGTGCATTTAACATTTTATTGGCTGCATATATATATATATATCTCCCCATTTTGTTGTTAGTTCTTTTTTGAGGTGCAAATGATTCAATTTTTCCTTTTTGGAATTTTAAATTTCTTAGAGTTAAGGATTAGAACTTAAGAGACAATGAAGGGTGGATGAGCCTAAACGTAGTGCTTATGATAGATGCTTTCTTTTTATTTTTTATCTTTCAAAAAAAGTAGTGTGAATATTTTTTTCGAGGGGTTATTTTAATTAACATTTGTATTTCTTGAAATTATGTTGTTGATCAATTTGTTTAGTCAATGTGACCATCATCATTGAGTTGGATTTTTACCACTATTCATTGTCATAAAAGTGTTTTTTTTATCCTTGCAAACTTTCTTTTCCAATACCTTATATTTTCTCTGTGCATTTTTAGTTGAAATTTTATGTATATTTATCTACAGAAAGTGAGAAAAGACATGGCCGAATACCAAATAATTCAATTTTTGTTGATTAAGAGTGTGCATGACAACAATTCTGTTCCCCGACACTGTTTCTGAAAAGAAACAATTCTTTTATATTTCTTTGTCTTGGAATAGTTTCTGAAAAAAAAAATATGTTTGATAACATGCTTTATTTTTATTCTGAGAATGAGAATTGTGATTGATAATACAACAAATAATATAATAAAAAATTATTCCTATTAAGCATAAAAACTTTCGGATCATCACTTTCCTTTTCATGTGGTGTGGTGGCGGTGGTAATGGTGGCGATGGTGGTGGTTGTAGTAGTGGCGTCGTGGTGGTGGTGGTAGTGGTGGTATGGTGGTGGCATGGTAGTGGCGGTGGTGGTAGTGATGGTGGTGGTGATGGTGGCAGTGATAATGGTGGTGACGATGATGGTAGTGGTGGTGGTGGTAATAATGGTGATGGTGGCGGTGACGTAGATGTGGCGATGGTGATAGTAGTGGCCGCAGCGATGGTGGTGATAGTGGTGGCGAGGGTGGTGAGATGGTGGTGGTGGCAATAGTGGTGATGATGGTGATGACATGGTGGTGGCGGTGGCGATGGTGTAGTGGTGGTAACGGTGGCGGCGACGGTGGCAGTAGTGGTGGTGGTGATGACAGTGGCTGCGACAATGGTGATGATGATGACATGATGGTGGCGATGGTTGTGGTGGTCGTGACAGCAGTGGCTACGACGATGATGATGACATGGTGGCGGCGGTGGTGTAGTGGTGGAGGCGGCAACGATGGCGGTAGTAGTGGTGGCGTCGTGGTGGTGGTGGCAGTGGCTACTATAATGGTGGTGGTGGCAGTGGCTACTATAATGGTGGTAGTGATAATGGTGGTGATGGTGATGGTAGTGGTAGTAATGATGGTGGTGGTACGACAATGGCGGTGGTGGTCGTGTCGAGATGGTGGTGGCGGTGATGATAATGGTAGTGGTGGAGAGTAATTGAGAAAGATAAGTATTTCTCATTTTGTGCCCAGGAACAAAAAAGCAGAAATCTTTTTTTTTTTAATCTTTTGATTCTTCTTTTTGTTCCCCAACACAAAAATTAAACCGGTTCATCATGGCAACAAAAAAAAATCGATTTTACCAAACGAGTTTTCTATCCATTTCTTCTCCCGAGAGCATAAATTAAAAAAATTGATTTCGGGAAGGTTGTCATGCACACCCTAAGTAAACAAAGAATCAGTTTTGAAATGTAGCTAATGACGGAAATATATTTACAGGCATTTTTATTTCAAAAATTAAAAAATTCTCCATGATTTTTGCCAGAATCACTTATCTCTTTAATTTTTTTAATCACTTACATTCTCTCATGCATGATTTTTCTCATCCAAGTCCACCTCTAACACCATTAAAATTTCAGCAAATATGTCTATTTTGGAGCAATAAAAAAACCCAAAAGATAAGTAAGTGATTAAAAATTGAAGTATAAGGGGATAAGTGATTAAAAAAAGAACCAAGGGGATGAGTGATTAAAAAGAAAATAGCACAATGGATAAATGATTATAGAGGAAATCATAAGGGGTACTTTGACCCACACATTCAACACATATATAATAGAGGTGTTGTCGAAAGTAGAGTAAAATTACAATATCACTGGAAATATTGTATTATTCCGAGTTACATAAACACTTGCTAAACATAACAAATAAGGACAAAGGCCAAAGACATCTATGATGCATTTCAATATTATCCAATAAAAAAATAAATATAAAAAAGTAGGCTTATTCCAAAATGGACATGAAATTTTTAACTAATCATCAATCAACTTAACAAAAATTGATCTGTATACAAACAATTTTTTTACAAAGAAAAATTAATCCTAAATATAACTAAGAAACATAAAGTGTTTGCTAGAGTTTGTGTTAAAAATAAATTCAATAATTAAATGGATCTGTTGATGCTGATGGAGTGTGTGTTGACACATTTGATAGACTTTCAATAGGTGCAGAAGAAGCAACACTTTGGTTCCCTCTTCTTATACCCATTTATCGATCAATGCACAATGCATACATATTAGTTTGTGAAAATGTGAAGAATTTTTTTTTTTCCGAACAATAGTGATTTTGTTTAGTTATATAGAAAAAATATAAAGTATTAATCTATTGTTTGATCAATGCACAATCTCAAACCTAATGGATTAGCATGGATATTGTTTGATCCTTGAGGATCAAATGTTGTTGTTAGATCTAAGAATTAGTGGTGTTTATGGAGGAGACAACTATATGTAATGACAGATCATTGTGCACAAAGGAAATACGAGAAGCCAAAGGAAGAATATGTGTGCGCACATTGGCAAAAAATAAGAATTATAGCTTAGAGAGCATACTTGTGAGGTTAAAACCCTTATTTATATAGGGTTTCTTACTTAAGAGTGGGCTAGTCCCAATTTGTCTGGGGCCTATAACACGTTTAGGGCTTCAGTTTCTCGACTTGGCACATCTCGGTGTAGGTCACCTCTCTCCAAATTTGGGGTCTCAACATGTTTAGCAGATGTAGCTTTTGTACCTTCCTTTAGCAGAGACTGGATGTCAATGTCTTTTCGGCAGACCTCTATCATTCTTCTGTCGTGGTACATGACCTCCACCTTCTTTATGAGGTGGTGGGGAAGGGTTGTAGTCGATCTTGAACTGGGCTCTCTCAATCTTTTCTATGTTGACATACTTGAAGGCCCTTTCTTTGAACTCGAAGAGGATGGCGCAGGAGTTTATGCAAATATTTGCAAAACGATCCTTTGCGATGTTTGACAGTTACCAAGTGTAGGTGGAACATGGAGTCCATATTTCAGACTTTGATTGCCTCTATATTTAAATTTGTCTAGGTGTTTGTGAAATGAAAGTTTCCCTATAGAGGACAATGTGTATGACGACTTAGGTTGAACTTGATTGATTGTGAAGTTCATTAGAAACCTTTGGGAGAAGTCTCTTAGTGAATTGATAGAGCGCAGGGATAGAGAGTTGAACTAGTACTAGACAGGTTCCCTGAAGGTGGAGGCAAATGCCCCGGCCATGTAGGGATCCCTGGCCCTGGCTAAGTACATATTTGTTTTAAATTTGTCTAAGTGCTCTTAGGGGTCCAGTGTGCCATCATACTTGGTGAGCTGGGGATTCTGCCACCTAGGGGTGGGAGCACGATTATGACACAGTTTGTGAAAGAGTTATCACTTTCCACCTTGTCATAGTGGATGTTGGCTTGATGATTGTTGATCTGTTGGTTACTGGTTTGATGGTCGGCCCAAGTTCCACCGTGGGTGTTATTTCCCTGGTTACTAGGTGAGGGTGGAGGCACATTTTCTGCCTGTTGTTCTCGCATTCTCCTCTTCATATCATCCAGGCTTTGTAGAATCAGAGTCATCATGGTTCGCATGAGGTCTTCTCCTTGTTGCAGTGTGTGGGAATAGGTGAGAAAATAGAACAAAGACAGAGACTTTTG